TCATGTGACAGTAAAGGCCTTCGCATGCCCTCCTCCCAAGGAGGAGAGGGCGTCTGGAATCCCCAGCACAGCCATGCTGTTGGGAGGGCCCAGCAGGCCGGTTACCGGGAGGGCAGGGACGACAGTGGGCCTGGTTTCCTGGGCCCCGGGGAGGCACTCCATCATGGGTTCTGAGGCCTGCCAGTTGTGGTTCTTGGCATTCTCCCGGATCCTCCTGGCTGCACGCCCGCCTCCCACAGGCCTCCCAGAGCCACCCCAGCATCCTCCTCAGGAAGCGCTGCCACACTCCAAGCTCCGCCCAGGCCAGGGGGCCAGCAGGAGACTGCCTCGAGGGATAAGCCTCGAGGGATAAGGGGTTGGGAAAGTTGGCTTTCCTGGCTCCTCTTTCATGCCCGCCTGCTGGCTCACCTCCATACGTGGAGGAGCCACCAGCCTCCCGTCTGTTAGCGCCATGGGCTGAGTCTCGCTGTCCCCGTGGCTTCTTCCCTGCTGAGGCTCCAGGCTCCCCTCCCAGGATATCTCCTCACCCAGGACTTCCCTTGTCAGTCACGGCCTGTTTCGGGATTTCTGGGATGGGGAGGGGACACTTGTGTCTTGGCTTGTGTACAAAGGAGGGATTTGTTTCTGGAGACATGACCCCTTGAAACGGGGAGAAAAGCAACTGGCGCGCCATTCTTCCTCCCCTTAAAACCGCCCCCACTTCCATCGTGAGGGAACTGGAAAAGAGATCCTCTCCCTTCTGCCTCAATGGCCCCTGTCGCATCAAGCAGGAGCCAGGGAGCTTCGAAGGAAGGCAGGAGGGCGTTCCTGGGACTTCAGTCTCGGGGGGAGTGGTAGGAGGACTGTCTCAGAAGGCCGCATGCTGTGTCTGTGGAGCTGGAAGCTGCCAGGGAGGAGAAGAGTCTGAGCCCCTGTGCCTGGGGCACCGTGGTTCCTCATGGACGCCTGGGCTTGGGGCACGGCCCCCAGTGGGCAGCACCTGCGCAGAGGACACACTAGGAGTAGGAGAAGAAATGACTCAAGTCTCCATTCTTAGTGATTCTCATCTAATGGCAAGCATGCCCTCCTGATCGTTAACCTACAGGTAAACAGTGGTACTCGTGTGTGATCTCTATCTATATCCGCAGAGCAGGGGGTGTCTGTTCATAACGCTTTCACCGGTAGGAGTCCAAGATTTTAAAAGTTGGGCTGCCACTGGGTTAGGGTCTCAGTAGC